CTTCCATCTCCACCGTTGGCATCACTGGTGAATCAAGACAGCAGTGTTGCCAAAACTGCTGTGTCCCTTAAATCGTTAAGCAAAATCACACTGGAAATATAATGCTTAATGTGCGTTTTCAGAGCCATTTTTAAGATTTGCAGAGTAGTAAACTGATAAATCTGCCCTTTCCCCAGCCAGGAAGTGTTCTGTCTGCAAGGTTGTTTCTCCAGCTACAACCTTTCCTGTGTATATATGAAAATGGGCACGAGATACCCAGCTTCTCTCATCATAACCTCCTATGAAATCAGGCATGATTTTTAGCTACATTAAGCATCCTGCCTCTCAGCCCTCCGCTGCTGCTGAAACATTAATTTAGAGCACCTTACCCTGCTACCGCCAACTATCTTTCCTTGGGTTTTACAAACACTTTGAGGAAAACTTCAACCTTTAGCATTTTCTCCCTCTGCACTAACCAGTTTAGGTTTATTAACTCTCAAGTAAAATCAGCTTGATGAAAATTTAATATCCTTTCACAGTAAATACTCTACTAAAAGACCTTTTTGCCCATCAGTTTTTCATGGCAGAGCCCATGCAGTGGTCTCTTGGGCCATCACATGCAGCTTCCCCATCAAGCTGGACTCACCCAGCCATTTCACATCATTTCATTTTTCCCAGCCCACTCACTGCCTGGCTTTTCCCTCCAAAATTAAGTACATGTGGGACAAGAGTGTAGGCAAAACTTTTCTCCTGTTCTTTTATTCTCATTTCCCATGCAAAACCGTGTTGCAGATTGCGTTTCATTTTGCTCTGCAATGTCCATGTGGGAGGGCCTCAAGGTGCAACTGGGGGTCCTCTGCTGCCAGCTGAAAGAGCAGCCTGGGTTATGACTCAGAAATGGCAAAATTACCTTTGTCCATGGTTCCTTAGACAAAAACTCAAGACCTGAATTTGAGAATTTCAGGCAAATGCAGAGGGAAGGGAAATCCATGGTCTCTCAGGGGATGTGGCTTCTCCAGGACAATTATTTTCACTATTAACTTTGCGGCTTGCTGTTAGATTTCTTCCAGACTTTCCTACCTGCCCCAGTGTTTGCTTATGCCTCTTGTTGGCTGCCTGACATCTCTCAGCACAGGCAGCGGTTGCTGCTCTATCGACATGTCATGCAGCTTCTCTCCAGCACAGCCGCTTATATTGTGATTTTCTGCTCTGTCTTCATAGGCTTAGAGCCAAGAAAGGAGCAGCTCTGGTTTCGGGGTACCCACACTGCTTGCACAGACAAGGAGCAGAGGAGTAATCAGAGCAAGGAGAGGAGTATACTTTGTGTAGGAAAAGGTAATTGCTCCCTCTTTCTTCCCACAGCAGCTAAGGACTGGAGAACAGACACGTCCGGGCTGGTTATCCAGGCATAAATAGGGGCTGGGGAAGGCACCGGGGATGGGATACATGTGCAAACATGAAAATAAGTGATCTTGGTGCAGGCTGCCATCCCAACAGGGAGTGCTCACCAGGTGAGCGCCTGCGTTGTAACGCCAGATGACTCAGCACATGTTGACTCTGCTGCTTTTAGGAGAGGACGCGTGACGCTGAACATGACCGAGGACGGAATTAACAGGTTCCTCCTTCCCTTGCAGAGCTGGAGTAAATAGGGTGGCTTAGAGGAAGTCGGGGCTGGACAGGAGCTCATCATGGGCAAATCACGGCACCTGGTGCTCCAGAGTCGGAGCCCATCCTGTACACCAGCAGCATGGCCTGTGCCATGGGAAGTAATTACATGGGGTCTTAATTACCTTCCTAAATTAAGGCTTCAGTTACCTGCTAGCACATGCCAAGACTTGTATGCCCTGTATGTTAAACCTGCCTAATGCTGTCAGTCTGGTTTCATTCAGGCCCGTGGAGATCCTGGTGATAAAGTACTTGAACACCCTGGTTAGATTTGGTGAGTTATGTTAATCTCTCCCAAAAAATTGTAGTGCTCTTTCATCCCTGAAACTGCTGCTCCACTCCTAAGAGAAGGCTGCAGCTCAATGTGTGGGGGGGCGTCTCTTAGCCTGGATGTTCCTTGGGAATAGCAGCAATAAATGCTTTCTCGTGCTCTTTTTTGCTGTTACTGCTTTTGACAAGTCCTTTTGGGGGATGAAACCTCCCTTCCTGGAAGGGAGGTTTCTTGGAAAAGTTAGGCTGAATTTTTTCCTTTAGTTTTGTGACTAAGACTGGAATCACACTTTGAGAAAATCCTTTTTCATGCAGCAAAAGAAACAATTCCTGAAGACCAAAGCTGAACTTCTGGAAATCTCCCAAGCCAAACCACAACCTAGGTGTGAGAGAACATACGCTTTTTCTTAATAAAGTTGGCCAGTAGAAACTTTGTCAGTACAAAGTCCTTAAAATTCTGAATGGACATCATCACATCAATGAAACTGACTTAAAGAAACATAAAGGCTAAAACTACAATGAAATGGAATTTTTCTTCTTTAAGCAACAAAGATGGTGAAGGGCCTGCAGAACAAGTCTGATGGGGAGCCTCAGGACAGTTGGCTTTTAATCACGGACACAGCATAACTCATCTACTGCTGCACTGATACCATGATTTCTGAAAATTTGGCTATAACAGCATGGAAGCCAGGACATGGGCTGGGCCCAGGATGGTCACGCAGTGAGGAGATGAAGAGATACTGGCAGGTAGTTTGCCCAAAATTGTCTCCAAAATGGTTTCGGCATTCCCATATCTGTGAGCAAAGGCTGTAATAAGAAGTCATGAAGTGCCTGCTAGGATTTAAAAGTAGGAAAAAATGGCCTTCGCACACAACAAGGAGATTGACTTTAATGTTAGCAAAAAGACTCATAACTGCACTGAAATACGGTGCCAAGGAAGAACCTACCAGCTCCCAGGACTCACTAACATGTCCTGATGATTTTTAGGGAAAGTAATGGTGGTAAAGCCTTCAGGAGAGGGTGTCCAGCCCTGCACACCAAAACTGCACCTCAGCATCCCAGAGCATTGAGCTGACCGGCAGCAGGATGTCCTGGAATAAAGAAGAGCCATCCCTAAACTGCTCCCCAGTCCTACAAACCACACCGGGAGGGCTCAGCGGCAGAAGCACAGGGATTGCTCTCAGCTGCCCTGCACCCAGTCACCCAAACACCCTGCAAGACAGGCAGGACACAGACAGTTGTTATTTGGGTTTTGGGTGACTCTCAGCTGCAGCATCCTGATGTTTTTCTCAGACCAAACACCTACCTTTCCAGGGTTCACTTCTTTTTGGTTATTCAACTACACCCATCGGCAGAATTTCTGAACCATAGAAATAATAGAACGCAGCCACCACACACAGTTTTGCTCTAATTTAATCTTTATTTCAAAAATAAAAATAAAATCCATGTCTTCATTGGCTGTACTGACTTCCTGTGTGAGCTCATGCTGAAACTTGCATGAAACGCTGATTCACTGTGTTTATTTTGCATAGAAAAAGCACATTAGAAACGTAATCATGCATAGAATTTTATATTAATAATATTAATTTCATCTAACTATAATAATGATTATAATTCTATTAAGATCATCAATGACCTTACATTAATAGAGCATCAGCCCAAAAGTATATCAAGAGAGAGACTAGGAAAAAAAAAAATCAAGAAGTAAAGTACATCGAGAAGTAAAAAATCAAGAAGTAAAGCACATCAAGAAGTAAAGTACATCTCCCATCATCATTTTTCTTTGATTACCTAAAATAACTGCAGCAAATCTGGTTTTGTAGGTCAGGTTTTCTTTGAAGAACATCAGCTCTTCGACCTCAATGCAACTACTTTGTATTAGCATAAAATGATTTTGTAATGCAGTATTTGGGTATGTTTCTTACATAGAGGGCAAAAAGCACATAAATCTGGCTACTCATAAGCTGATGCTCAGGCACACATTTTCCATCCTGGTCGTTAGACTTTAAATATTAATTCTTTTTCCTTGCACAATCTTTCCTTGCTTCTTCCAAACACCCTGCATTAAAACCAAAAAACCAAAAAATAACCCCCAAAATTACTTAGAAGCCACCTCCTTTGGATATAGTGTTTCCTGCTTATTCGTGGCATGAGCTACCTATTTGGCCATGTATTCATAAAAATACCCATTAACTTACGGTCTCTTCAAAGCCTCCAATAGAAAAGTACAGACAACACTAAATGAAATAAAAAGCTACAAATCCCAACGCACAAAACCACAGTTGACGTAAGCCAAAAGGCTCATTGGATTGATGTGGTACGGAGAGAAGACACCACAGATGGGTACTACATGAATTATGCCCTCCTATTCTTGCAAATTCAATTATTGTCACCGAAACAGCTGCTGGCCTAAGTTTGCCCTAGCTGGGTTGATTTGTGCTGAAAGATACCAAGGCGTGTGGATGAAATCAATTTTGGCAGCTCCGAGGTGGGAGTGATGATGAGCAGAGCTGGAGGAGGAACTCGCAGAGCTCCTCTGCTGCTTGCCAGAGACGTGAAGGGGCTGCCTGGAGGGCAAGGGCACCTCTCCAGCACAGGCAGCAAGAAGCAGCCTTATCAGTAAAAAGGCCAAAAATGCTTGCTAGTTACAAGATAAGGTCATGATTTAAGACTACCACAAGGTCTGAAGCAGAAGTCACCTTATATTTTGCACGTCCAAATTCAATCACTTCTTTCTCCAGGTGCTCTTGGTTCGTGTTCTTAACGTCAATTCAGTAGCACCCTGAGCTGGCAAAGTGATGGCTTATGCTCCACGTGAGGAAATTGCGCATCACTCACTACCACATTGATTACGAATGACCAGTGGAAAAAAACTCATGCATCCCACACCGTGGACATATGCGACCTAAAGCAATACTTCACCTCCTTGATCTCAAATGACCAGCAACCAGAGTGGTAATCAGAGAAGTCAGGGTCAGAGCAGATCTGTGTGTTCTGCACCCATCAACCCACTTATTTTGTAATCACTTCTTAGTTAAGAAGACTTTGATGGTGTTTAGCAGCTAAACAAATATTGACAGCTGTATCTACAGGTGGTATCCTACTTTTTGGAAACCTGATGTCTTGTTTTCTCCAGAGCCATGAATAAGCAGGGGGTGGAAGAACACCATGTCTCCCTTCTCCATGACAACGTGAACCCTGGGACGCTTCTCATAATTGCGGCAGCTCGTGGAAAAATTTGATTGGTGAACTCTAGAAGCCAAGGAAGAGTGGCAATAATTCAGTAACATTAGAACACTGTTTTTTCAGCTTAGAAGAAGAGATGCAAAGGCAGTTACTCATTTTCTTTCTTGAAGGTAGTACATTCAATGTTCCTGATGAAGAGTCTGCATGTTCGCCTACAAGCCTTGCTAATCAGTTATAAAGACTCATTTATAAAGAACCAGAATGGTCCACTCTGCTTTCTGGATCATCTTTGCACATCTCACAGGTAGCTCAGCTTCCTCAGACACACTTCATACACACATATGCTCACTTTCTCTTTTGACCTGCAAACCCCTATGAGAAATTTCCATCTCTCAACTAAATTGTTCTTCGTCTCCTTTCTAAAGTTAAATTCAAACAATTAAGAACTTCTCTCCACTGGGGAGAACAGAGAAGAGCACAGGGGCTGCACAAGTGTTGCTGGTTCCACTTCTGGGGTGTCAAGTCCAGCCTCCCGCTCCAAGCACAGCCATCACCAACTCTGGCCCAGGTCAGGATACATCCTTGCTTAGGAGGATAATATTGCTTGAAATTAAATTCTGGTCAATTGTTTGTCATCCAGTTTTCTTCTACAGGAAAATAAACATGTTTGCCTGGCAGGAACAAATTCAGAGAAGGAGAAAGCATCTTCAAACTTCGCAAGAATAGAGAAAAACGGTTGATCAGTGTGAACAAAGACCAGTTTGTAACAGACAGCTTCTCAGACACAGACTGTGTTGGAGTGTACCCACCAGCCAGAACGTGGTCCCCTCATGCACGCCCTTCCCAACCCCCCGTGCTGCTCTACCTCCCACTTTGGATAGCCTTGAGGCTTCAGGGGCTCCTTGTGCATCCCTGGCTGCACCACCAGGCACTCATTGTCCCCATCAGTCCTCTCCATGGTGGTCCAGGAGCACACAATGTGGTCCGCAGCTGGAAGGTGAAATAGTGCAAGTCCTGACGCATGGGGTGACGAGAACTCAGGTACCTGAAAGACAAGAAATGCGGGTGGCTGTACTGAAAAGTGTCTTCATGCACTTTAGATGTGACATAGAGTTGTCCTGAGGAACATCACGGCACTTATGGTGGTAATGGGTCCCAAGAAGCTGCTCCAAAGCTGCACTGTCTCTAAGCATGCTCCTTGCTGGCACTCTATTCTGAGGCTAAATGAGTTTAAATCTCACTCTAAGGCACAGTGAGACCCCAGATGTGGTTCTTGGGTCCGTAGTTGCTCTGTGGAGTTGTTGGGAATGGCATGAACAAACTGAGTGTTTTAATAACCCGACGGTGTTCTGTGCCCACGCAGAAGCTGGACACCTCAGAATAGGAAACAGCTCTGGTCTCAGCTCTGCTGAACTGCAAAAGCTTATGAAGAGTCCAATCAACTTTGAAAAAACTGTCATGTCGTTAATTAAACTTCCTTTTTCCCCCCATTTCTCTTTTATGAAGTAAGACTTCGATCTTCAGCACTAGAAGCCAAAGCCAGGGTTCAAAATCCTTCCTTTGGCATCTATTCAAGTCTCTTCATAGCAAAGCGCTGAGCGTGCAACCACTGTCAGCAAGGTCAGGAGTCAGACTAAATTTGACATTTCTGAACTGTTAGTCTGGAAAATAGCACATAAACCCTAAGCAAAGGATCTTCTCTGTATTTATTGTCTTTTACCAAGCTCTAGGAAGCACTTGTGTTTTCAACACATGTGAAATGTCAACCCTAAAAAAAAAAGTGCTTAAACAGCGGGGTTTCATGCAAGTGCAGATGGCTGAATAAGGAGCTGCGTGCTCCTTTTTGAAACCTGAATGCTGCTTTAAAAAAAAAATAGTTGAGGGACAGTTAACATTATACAAAAAGACCTAAACTGCAGTTGGAAATGATGTTTTAGATGTAACATGCAGTTAGATACAACAGCACTTCAATTTAGGAGGCACACACACATACCTCCCAATGTGTGAACCCAAACACGTACAGCAAACTGAAAGAGAAGAAACGTATCCCACCAAGCCAGGGCTAAACTAAAACACACTATTACCAAAATAACTTCATATATTTCCAGAATTTCTTTTAATTCAGTTCAATTCAATTCAATTTAAACAACTTTTATAAAATAGTGTCTTGGTTTTGACTGGGATAGAGTTAATTTTCTTCCTAGTAGCTGGTACAGTGCTGTGTTTTGGATTTAGGATGAGAATGATGTAGATAACACAGGAATGTTTCAGTTGTTGCTGAGCAGCGCTTACACCAAGTCAAGGACTTTTCAGCTTCTCACCCCACCCCACCAGCGAGGAGGCTGGGGGCACAAGAAGCTGGGAGGGGACACAGCCAGGACAGCTGACCCCAATGACCAAAGGGATATTCCACACCCTATGACGTCATGCCCAGTACATAAACTGGGGGGAAAGCTGGCTGGTGGCCGCTGCTTGGGAACTGGCTGGGCATCGGTGGGCGGGTAGTGAGAAATTGCATTGTGCATCACTTGTTTTGTAGATTCTAATTCTTTTATCATTCTTCTTCTTCTTCTTCATATTATTATTATTATGATCCCTTCCTTTTCTCTCCTGTTAAACTGTCTTTATCTCAACTCACGAATTACACAGCGACCCAGGCATACTAACAACTTCTGCATTTTCTTCTCCCTGGAGCTCTGCTTACCAGGATCTGGAAGTTTATTTATCAGCATCATTTGCATGGCCATTATGTTTGGCCCTGTGAAGTATACAACACATTTTAGGATCTACAGAGGAAAAAAGAGTAGAAAAAAAAAGATGTGTTTTATACTACAGTAATCGATTGCAAGTAAAAAAAACTAGGCAGGTCTGTACTGTAACTAACAGTTGACTGTGTTGTTCACGAGGGTGGACTTATTATCAGTGGTTTTATCCAAAATAAAAAACAAGCACAGGGAAACCACCTATAGATGCTGCCATAGTTGCAATGCTCACCTGTGCCTTTTCTGCTGCAGTGTACGCCGAGGCACTGCTGAAGGTCGCTGACTGCCAGGGCAACAGCTCAGGAGCTCCATGAAATCTCCTGTGTCCGCCTCTGATTCTCCAGCCAACCTGACTTTTGTAGTACTCCAGGATCCACAACAAGCCAATACATGAGGAACTGTACCTACACATTACATACATTAATATACTTTCTTATCTTATGAAAAGTGATGGGAATCTGCTGCTGATAACTACTCCAACATGAACATAGAGTACAAATCCATCTGATATTGGGTGAAGCATGTATTAAAGTAGGCCTGTACAGAACAGAGCATCGCATAACCATCCAGAAGGGCTAGTTTGGCCTGCCCAGCTCAGACATTGCCTTCACCTTGGCATTAAAACATATATATGTTCACAGATCTCGGTTAGGCTCTCCCACCACCATCCCCCTATTGGCTTTTTACTTTTGGCAGAGTACGGTGTCTAAACAACTCTTCATCTTCCTGGAAATCATGCACTTTATTAACTGTTTTTTCAGACTGAATGAAGTTGGGTCTGTGGATCTCATCTCTCATTATCAGAACTCCTGGTGGATTCGTCTCCTTGTTACAGATCCTCACAAACTCCTGCCTGCAAAGCAGAGGGAACCGGAGAAGCCAGAGCACATTTTAGCCATGTTTGGCCAGATTACTCTCCTGAAAGGCACTACTGCTACAGAGGAAGGTATCCAGCAATAGCGCGCACATCCATGTTGGGAGGATCCAGCTTCCCTCAGCTCCCCAGAGCTCCCTCGGGATGCTGCTGCCCACTGGAGCCCCAGCACCTTAGGCAAGTGCCCCGTACCTGAAGTGCTCAATGTCTTCATCAGAAATGAGCTTCCTAACGAGCAGATGCCCGTTGTCTTCATAGAACTGCCTTTGCTCTGTGGTGAGGACATCGTTGTCCGGGGTGTAGCTGAGACACAGAGGAGAAACACGTTAGTAGGGCTGGGCAGAACAACGGGAGTACCAGTGATGAGAAGCCGGCAGGAGCACAGTGCCGTATGGGGGACCGACGGCTGCTAGGGAGGGGCAGGCAGCCCCGTGCGGCGTGGGGGGGAGGACGGGCAGCCCCAGCCAGTGTCCTGGGGAGAATCGGTGAGAAACCCTCCCCGCAGCAGACACTGAGGGCACTTGGAAGAAAATAATTAAGTAGGAATTGAAATTCAATGTTCAATTTTTTATTTTTGTATAAATGCAGACACAGTTTACTGAAACATCTTTGGCTGAGCAACAGCACGAGCTGCTGCTGGAGCAGGAGCAGTTATTGGGGATATAAATTAAGGACTATACAATCAGGCACAATATGAGTACGAAAACATTATTGCAGAGAAATGACACCCCTCCCAACACTTGACAGGGAAAGCATGCAGAAAGGAAACCTTCAATTCATTTTAACAAGTTTAAACAAACATGGCCATGTTCTGCTAGGCAGAGAGAGCACGGTCTCGCCCAGAGGACAGCTAACCACCCCTTGCTAATAAAGCCTCACAACAGCTTTGTGTGTGGTATTGAAGCTTCACCCAAAGCCAGTTTAAACCTTCCCTGGTTAAGAGTCACACAAGGTGTGAGCACGGACACAGCCTGTGAGGAAGAAGAGGCACGTGCAGGGTGCAGGCAGGCAGTCAGAGCAGGGCGGGAAGCACCGCAGCAGGTCTCGGAGCAAAGGACGCCCATACGGAGGGCACTGCTGCATCAAGCTCAACAGGAGGTAAATGCTTCACCTCATGCTTCAGGTCTCAGTTTTGGTGGAAATGGGACATGGCCACTCAGGCTCTCCAGATGTCCAGGGTGCTGCTCCTACCCACAAAACCTCCAGGAGGGTCTTTCACCTTCTCTTCAGGCATCACAGAGCTGATGATGGAGACACAGGCACTGTTGAACCCCAGCTGTGGTGCCCTCCTCAGCACACCTCCACCTCCCAGAACGGGGGCACAGCAGACAAGTCCACCAGCACTGGACTCCATCCCAACACCTTCCTCCCGGGCTTTGCAGTGCCTCTTCCTCTCACTGGTTTTGCTCTTACCACCTTGCAACACTCAAAGGACAAGTTTGGATTGCTTGGACAACTGAAAAAAAGAGGCACACAGGCCGGGCAGGAGATGCCACCACCGGCAGCTCATTTTGGTGAAGACACAGAGTATTTAAACATTTCTCTTCCCTTCACACACATCCTTTTGGGAATAATGTATTCACAAGCACGTTAGCCAACTGCACAGGCAATATAATACCTGGGACCACTCAGAAGCAAGTAAACAGTTTTGGAGAGACTGGCACAGCAACGTTCAAGATTCAAATAACATCATTTCTTGTTCACAGGATGCTGGGAAACATTGTCAAATTAAAAAAACAAGCAAACAAAAAAAAAAAAGGCCTTTGTTCTAACAAGCCATTTTCAGTTTTCCAAATCCATCTCTCTCTGAGTTCCTGCACTATTCAGAAGAAAATCCTTCAACGCAAACCTGTAAAGGAGCCAGGAAGTCCAGACTTCTCCGTAGAACCTCCTCACCCCAGTCATCCAAGAAAAAGAAAGGCCTCAACCTGGGAAAGTCAAACTCCTAAATAATGCAGCAAGTAAGCTTCCTTGTCTGCTTGCAGTTTGAGGCAAGACGCTAAGTTCTAACACCGCTTTCCTTCCTGGCTCCCTTCAGAGCTGCAGATGAATTCACAGGTGTAAGAGCAAAGGTCTTGCAAAGGCAATTGTGAATGTGGCTTTTTCTCCGTTACCACCTTTCAGATGGTGAGAGAGGAGGCTGGGGATACCAAGTGCAGCACTCTTTGCTTTCTTACACCAAGCATCCAAGAAACCTCTCCAGGATCCTCTCTGCCCTTCTTCTGGAAGAAGACCATGCCTTGTGCTATCCAGCTCACAACACAGCTGATGTGGAGACCACTGTTTCTTCCCACTCACTCCCCCTACTCCCTTTCCATCCCAGCCACAGGTCAGAAAGGATACAGGAGCAGGGGCTGCACCCAGACGTGGGGATAAGTGCCATAGGACGGCATCCAGCCAAGCAGTTGGGTTTGTCTTTTCCATGATGACTCTGACAATAAGCAGATGTCACCAAGACCCCAGCTCACCATCCAGCACTTATAAGGTCTGAAGAGCGCTTGGGGCAGAGCTCAGCCGCAGCATGGGCAGGATCAAGATGACAGTCCCTGGGTGCCATTTGCTCCTCTTCACCTTCCCTGTGCATGTGCTGGCACCTCTGCATGCCCAGGAGCCTCTCAAGAAGCTGTGGGTCTCACCAGCTGGGCTGGGCAAAGGGCAGGAGTGAAGGAACAAGAAGGTTTGGGGACAGGAGGGCTTGTTGCTAGAGGCTTGGAAGTAGGTGGAGAAAGTTCAAGCATGATTTTATACACTCCCTTTCCTCTACTCTGCTCATTCGCAGCTGCCAGCAGCTGCCACCATGGCTGCGAGGACAGAGCCAACAAGTGTGCAGAACCCAGCACCTGACAAGCTCAGTCATGCACCGCATCTGTGCTGGCACGGGTGGTTTGCAAAGTTAAACAGTGCAATGGCTCCTGTCCTCTAAGAGCGCCCTGCTGGGAAAGAAAAAGCCTGGAGGCGAAATCCTGGAGTAGGGAGAGAAGGAAAAGTGATGCTAGCTTAAAAATGGGGAGCTGCAAACAGAGGTTGCAAAGGCCTTGTATTCTCCTCAAGCTGGGACATACTTACAAATTATATATTCAATATACACTGTACTTAGCAGCGCACTTAGCACTCTCATCTGCCTACATTAACTCTGTGAGTGGTATTTGAGAGGAGATAAACATTGAGATTGAATACGGATCCATAACAGACCTGCAGCACAGTTGAGAAGATGATTTTCATCATCTTTGCACATGGCCCTGTTGCCATCATGCCATAAAGACTCACTGCTCCTGCAAAGCGGACTTCAGCCCCACCATGTCATGGTTCAGACGAGCTTGTGCCATCGGTGTGACAGTCCGTTCATCCTCACTTTTCCCTCAAGCTCTATGCCGTGAAGCAGACACTGCTGAAAGGTGGGGTTTGTCCTGCTGGAATTTGCTGTCCTTCATCTTTCCCCTTTCCCTGGACCAACTTCACAGTCCTGTGGGTCAAGGCACTTGCTGTGGGAGGGAAGGTGGAGGTACAACTCTTGCTGCAAGGACCAGGAGTGGATTGAATGCGGCACGTGTTCATTACAAACTGGGGTCAACTTTCCTTCAGTCTCTTTGGACTCCAAAAAAAGGTGGAGGCCACAGGCTGAACGTGGTCCTTCTCTTGGCAGGGGTCTTCCTTTTTTTCACATGAGTTTTTCACAGGATAGCAAAAAAAAAAAAAATCCCCTTTCCGATGGAACTAGCTTGATAGTTTGGGATTGCAAAAACCATTGAGGGATGGGCACTGTGTTTGGGAAGGGCACTTGGGTTCCTGCCCTTGTTCTTCACAGGGCCACGGCACGCTGGGCAGGTTTCCTTCTGGAAAAAAATTAAGCTTGGGGCAGCAGGTGACTTGGTTAATTATTGCTTTTCGTCTCCTCCTCCCCTTCCTGCTGCCATGGGGGTAATTCAAAGAAGAGGGAATCTGGACCTGAAGGCTGATAAGACCTCGCAGCTCTCCCGTGGCGGCAGCTCCCTCTGCAGACACCAGCCTGAGATGCCCGAATCAGGGGCACTGTACTGCCAGGAAACCAAACCCTAAGAGATACTTGGTTGTGGTTTTGGTTTTTACCCAGAAAGCCAAGTGCTGGAGACTGAGATGAATTTCTAGCCATGAATTTCCACTGGTGGGGCATGTGCTTTGGAAACCTGCGATTGCAGAATCTCTGCTGGCTGGGATGGGTGAGAACAGGAACAAGAAAGCACTTACCAGATAGATCCCTCGCACAGGAGGTCACATTTACATGAACTGATGAAGCATCCTTTGGACTCCCACCCTTGCTCAAATATCCTGTGAGGAATTGTTTGTAGATCTTTACTCTCCCAGGGACATGGTCCTGCACCCATGAGTGTGTAGCTTTGCTGAGAAAGAGCCAAGAAGCCCTGATGGATCTGGCTCTGCCCAGGGTCATTTTGGGAGGCAGAGATCAGACTCCTTGGCATTGCTAGGATGCAGCTGAGCTGGCCTTGCACACAGTCGAGTGGAACTTGCCTAAGCTTAGTCTTCCCCAGGCTCTGGAGTATCCTCGACCGGTTGTTGTAGGAAGGAGTGAGGACAGGAGTCTCTCATCAGGTGGGGCAACTGCTGAGTTGAGATGATCTACGAGGTCTTTGATGGGTTTGTTCTTCTGAAAGTGGAAATTTAAGCCTAAATCCATAGGCAGAGATGTGCAAATTTTTAAAAACAAAGCCAAATTTCTTCCTTTCCTTCTCTCTCCCAGCCGTAGTAAGAGAAATTCAGTCTGGAAACTCTGGGAATCTGATGGACAGCTGTGGCTCTTCTCTGTGGTCACAGCTCCCTCTGCAGTCAAGTCAGCTACACCAGTAGACAGTGAAGTCTCCATGTATCCTGTGTCGTGAACCAAACAGGATACTCTAAGTCCTCACAAAAATCCCAAGGAGAGCACCAGCTAGGCTGTGTGCCACAGCTCAGCAAAGTCAACAGAGGAACCTCCAACTCACTGGAAATCATTCACTTAGGCTCATGCAGCAAGCAAAGACCAGGCTGAGAAGGTCCAAGTCTGGAGAGGCATCACGGCACATCTCCCCAAGAGCAGGATCAGTGCCAGGGTTATACAGAGCACATGGGAAGAGATGCAGGAACCAGGATACTCAAAATCACCCACTGAGCAAGGCTGGGGGTCTGTCCTAAAGTCTCCCCCTCATCAGACGTCTTGGTGTTGTGGTCAAACCGGAGACTACCAAGAAGGTAGGTCTGTCTCCAGGTGGGAACCACAGCCCAGATACCTCACCCGGCCACCAAGGGTTTAGGACTAACGCAATGACTGTGCTCAAACCTCACCTTGCACAAAAGCCTCCTCTGCGTTACATTGTCATGCATGAAATGACTGCAACAGCTTTGACTTGCAGCCGCTTGTTTAGGCAGTCCCCTGGGGGAGAAGATTTTGAGCCTTGTGGGTCAAGGACAGGACTGCACCTGATCTCCTGCCTCAACCAAGTGACCTCCCGAGCGGCAGGATAAAAGAGCAGAAGGAGCCATGAGAGCCCATCAGTGCAGCCTTTGGTGCTCTTTTGGCACCTTCTTTGGGTGGAAGAGGGGAGTGGAGAACAGCAGAGGATTGACATTTTGCACTGGGGTATTCAACGACACACCCACCACCAGAATTTCTGAGCAACAGAAATAATACAACACAGCCCTCGAATGCAGTTTTTCTCTGATTTAATCTGTATTTCAAACACTAGATTCTGAAAACAAAAGAATCTTTCAGAAAGCAGGGAAAAACACTGTGAAAGGCAAGAGGATCATTTCAGAGCACATCGCTCCACCCTGCCACCAGTGCATCCTGAGGAGCATCCAACCACCTCCCCAACTTGGCAGCACCAAAAAGCACCTTTTCCCAGACCCGCCAGACTCAGAGGAGGACTCCCTCATTTCACACAGCCTTGGATCGGTTTTGCAAGGCCAACGGGATGCCGGTTTGCTGGCCCAGTAGCTCCCAATCCTGTCAGCAACATAGTTCACTTGTGCCAGCGCTGCTCCGTGAGATACAGTGACACACCACGTCATGTTCGAGGAACTCTACTAGCGATCATGTTCCAGCCCATCAGTCCCATTTTTCCATGAGTGGTTGCTGCGTCTTCTTAATCCAGCTCCTTATAGCATTGATTCTGCTGGTAACAATATTCCCATCTTCATCAGTTGTACTACTAACTTCCCATGTGAGCTCATACAGAGAGCTTGAGTGAAACTCCGACTCATTTTATTTCTTGTGCATAGAAAAGGAAGTTGGAAATGTTGGAAATTCTTGCATAAAATCTTATGTTAGTATAGCATCATTCCAAAGGTATGTCATGTGAGAAACCTTTAAAAAAACAAGAATGAAAACATCAAGAAAATCAAGGTGTTCTTTCAAGACCTTAACTCTTTGATTGTCTAAGATAACCACAGCAAATCTCTGTTTTTCTAGATTAGGATTTCTTTGACAGACATCAGCTGTTCAACCTCAGTGCAATTATTTTGTATTAGCATAAAATTATTTTGCAATGCAGCATTTGGCTAAGTTACCAATACAGAGGTCAACAAAGCACACGTAATTCTGCCTGCCGAGGCAGGGTCTGCACTCTCCCACCAGAGAATCTCATTTTCAGGCACGTGTTTTCCATCCTGCTCTTCAGAGGTTGTTCTACAGGTTAATTCTTTCCCCTTGCACAAGCCGTGCTCGGAAGTTCCAAACATCCTTCAAAACAAAAATGAGACAAAGGAAAAGCCTTGAAGGCCAGCAAAAACAGTGACTAGGATTCCAGTTTAGAGAGGTGGAAACAGATACAGCATTCTCAGCTTAGCTACCTACCCACATAAACATACCAAAACATTTATTGAATATCATTTCAAACCCTAAATATCAAGAACAAAAATACAGCCCAAACTAAGGAAGAGATGCAACCTCCACCCCCAGGAGACAGGTTGTTTGCAGGCATTACATGGATGGCAAGACGCCCATGCTTCAATGCTGGAAGGCGGCAGGAGAGGAAACACGAGCAGCACAGAGAACATTACGCTTGCAGAAGTCGCCCTCGCCTGCTTTTGCACACAGTGCCTCCCTCATGCGCCTTTGGGCGATCAAAAATCTCCCTAACTGACTACACCTTGCATACTGCTGCCCGCGAGCAAGTGATATTCCTTGTGCAGCAGAAACCAGTAGGAAATAACGGATACGAATGCAAACCCTTAGCCAGAAATCAGGTGCTGGGCAGGCATTGCTGCAGATTGTAAAGCAGAGAAGACCACCATTGTTTGCTTCACGCAAGTAAGTCTTGGGCAAGCTCCCACCTCAGTTTCCCTGGGTGAGGATTACTTAGTTATTATTATTCTTGTGAAGGTGAAATATAAGAGCTAGGCACTCCTCTGAGAGAAAGTTCCAACTCTGGTTAAAAAAAGATTGAAGGTAC